CTTTTTAATTTCTTCTTTACCTGAATTTGATTCGTTATACGCTAAGCAATTTGCATTCCACAAGCATATTGAACTAACGAGCAAAATGATTACACAAGTTTTTGCGGATCAGTCTAAATCTGAAATCATCATGTATCTTATTCTAAAAGTCTAAAAGTAATCCTTATAATTTGATAAACACGCGCCTCAGCTCTTTTAATAAGTATATACTCTGAACACAGTGGAAAAAATGCTCGTTCATCAATGAAAACAAATTGTTCAATTATACCGGCAACCGGCAAGTACTTTTCTCGGTAGAGGGCATTTAGCAAAATCGCCGACCAGAACGGCGCCAAAGGACATGTTGTTGCCTTTATGTCTGGGGAGTCAATGTCGACCGCGTGGGAAAAGTTTTCATCTTTGCCAACGAAAAACTACAGAAATGCGAAAGCGTAACCGGAAAAGAAAACTTTTAGGAGCGAACCATTACAAATCCATATACTGACCGTTTAAGCGATAGTTCCCCTTACATTCTCCAGCTTTAGTTATAAATGAATACTGTATTGATTCTGATTTCATTTCATTTCTTGGCAGCATTGAGGAAGAATTCAGAAGGCCGGCCAAATTCCTGAAAGAGGCTGACGAGGTTAATTATAACTCCGAATCTTTAAGAAAGGGGATATCACGGAGAACGATACGTCTGTGTCTCTCCTTTTCATTTGAATTCTAAATGGTGCTCATTTTCCTAAATAGGGATTTTCAGTGTTTTAAAAAGGGCGAAAAACCTATTTAAAAGCTATAACACACGTTGATATTAAAGCAGGCCCGTAAGTTGGCGATTATAAAAAAAATAGCAAAGTTTAGATGTCGATATAGTCTCTATGCAAATTAACCTAAACCTAAATGTCACTGACGTGGATAACAAGAAACGCAAAAAAAAAAAACAAAAACAAAAAAAAACACATACTTTAAACTCAAATGTCTCACGCCCACCACGGGGGTAGGGGGGGAGGGTTGTTAACTTGCAAATTCTCTGTTTTTTTTTTTTCCGAGACCGGGGTGTTCGTGTATGTGTTAGTGTGCGTGTGGGGAGTGGTCCTCTCCTCAGACAATGACCGTTTATGAATTCTGAGTGGTTTTCTCGCGTATTGGTAAACTCGAATCTGGTGGATGGATCTGGTGATCGGTGAAGTTGTCTCTGTCTCCTATTCTGGGTTAACACGTTTTTGTGCTAAATTATCATCCCATGGCTCCTGCGTCAAGGAAAAGATATTTGGACATATGATATAAAAAGTCCTGGGACGGGGCTACATCGAAATTTAAATGTCATACCCTTAACAGGAGTAACGGGCAAGCCCACCCATCCCCTCCCGGTTCTGAATAGGGT